TGCTACGGCACAGCGGCGACGCCGCCCACCCATATTCTTTTTATTTACTCAAATTAAAAGGGTTTCTTGCATTTTTCAATATTTTTCGTTCCAAAACTTATGTGCCGTGAACCAATGTAAGGTGCATTCTCAAATAACACTCATTTTTTAAAACAAACCAAATAACAGAACAAACTTTATCACTATTAGTTTTGTATACACTTTTTTTACCAAATAAACAATACAAAAAAATTTTTATTACATTGTTCCAAAATTATAATACTATGTACATCACTAAACATTTTCCTAAACTGCTGCAGCTTGTGGAACTCTTTGAAACATGGATATGCAGGGGGGCACTTGACACCCTAACACAAAAACATGCTGCGTGTTTGGGGGGTTTTGGGGTAGCATAATACAAAACCCTTTTTCTACATTTTTTTTGGGCAGTAGTAGGAGGCGTTGCAGGGGGTATGATCACCAGGCTGAATGAATGACGTGTTTGGAATTTCGTGGGCGCGGTTTTTTACAGGTTTGCTCCTTGGTTTTTGCAATTATTTGTCTGTTTACTGACAAGCAAAATTCACCAATTTTGGTGTTTTTTTGGTCTTCAATTTGTATATTTATAAGCATTCACATAGAGATATAAACAAATGGAAAAAAGTTTTAAAATACCCTTAAAACTCTTGCGTACACAGTTTGAAAACCCAATCTGCATGTCACATTTGTCCACTAAGCGAAATTTTGAGGTTTAGTCCATGACAGCTGCGGCTTTAAAATGGGTTCATTGGTCTCCGTTCTCCCGCCCACTGTGTCCATTTCGTTTGGGTAAACTGATTCAATAATGTGCATCACGTTTGTCATCCCCACCGAAATGCCATGATTCATTGGAGCAAAGGCTTGCACCTCACCTCTGCGAGTGCCAGCCCTCGAACCTTGGGATATGTTTACGATTTGAGCACGTGCCCCACATTTCTGTCAAGTTCACTCGCAAGAATCACTGAGTAAGGGGGGTTGTGTACCAGAAAAAAAAAAATAAATATCCCCTTACCAAATATGGTTCCTCTTGTTCGAACCACATCACCAGAGATACTCAATAACTTCATGGATCTCTCAAAATATTATGCCATGTACACAATGATATCCAAAAAATAGACCCCTTCTGCAATCACACAGTACAAATAGCTTTACACCAAAGGTTTTCCCCTTGCTTGGTATATTTGCTTGAATGAAGTCTTTCCCTTTGAAAAAACAAGGGCTCATCAATAACAAGCTTCCTGAAGGGGTAAAAATCATGCAGCACTTTTTTTTTCGGTACAAAACACTTTTTTTATCTTTTTATAACCTTTTCGCTTCTGTCAGGGTTGGTTTTTTCGAAAAGTTAACTACGTAACATACGGAAACGATTGACACCCATAATTCACTAAAACCTGGATTTTTAAACAGGGGGTTCTGTTGCCCCGTATGTGGTGACAGTGTGCTTATACACATGTGGCATAACATTTTTGTGGCAAAAAACAGGGACAACCTCCACATTTTCCCTTCCCTTTTGGGAGCCGTGATTTTGTGAGAGAATTGTATTTGCCATGGGTAATCACATTTTGTGGGTTTTTTCCCTGACAATGATGTCCATCAGGGGTTCATCGAAGAATAACTCAAAGCTCCAGTTACTGGCATTTTTCCAAAATGGACATGATGGGTTTATTCCACTTTTTGTTTCACAAAGTCTGGGACTGGGGAAAAACTCGTCACCGTCCTGCCAATCCCAGATGCGTCGCTGGGGGGGTCTGGATATTGTACCGTGGTTGGGTTGTGCAGGTTGGGTTTTGCAGTTGTGGGAGTGAGGTTGTGGGAGGTGGGGTCGGGTTAGGCTGGTTTTGTGCAAGTCACCGCGTGGGTAGTAGCGTGGCCCCTGATGGTGCCACATGGGCTTGCAACCTCACTATCACCCCCACTGCCTGCTCCCTCACTCACATCATTCATACCCATCGTTCAATTTGTCATCTCACTTCAGGTCGTGGTGTAGGCCACGGATTTCTCCCAAGTTTTTTCCCCCCTTGGAACAACATATGAAAAACTACCAGACCGCATGCTACATTTGTACATAGCCGCTTCACTGGGGGAAATCACCCCCGCTGTCACTAGAACTGCTTTTAATGACCTTGAAATCACACACTATAATTCACTGCTTTTCAAACTGGGGGTTGTACACGACCAAATAGTTTTTCCCCTTTCGTCCCGGGACAGGCGAACGGAACGGAACAAGCCGGCCCAGCACCAGAGGGGGAAGGTTGTGGGGCACAGTTTTTATCACTAATTACTTATCCTGGGCCTTTTTCCGGTAACACTCACTTAAAACCCCGAATTCACCGTCACGACATTTTCATCGCTGTTTGAGCTATCCTTGGGAACAAAAACCCCAAACCGCCAGGATGAGGGAAATTCACCGAAGGGGATGGTGAAAAAGGACTAAAAAGATGGGTTCCCCCCAATGCACCGCTGGGGGGCCCCCGATTTTTTTCACAGGGTGCACACCGACCGCTGAGACCCATTCTCTCTCATGTAGGCCTACCAGGCCTTTCCCACTTGATTTGAAGCCGCTAGAATTTGTGCGTATAAATACGTCAGAAACATTGGCTCGTAAGACGTATTTATACGTCGTAAACAGTCAAAGGGTTAAGGAATAATGTAAATTAGATTAGTCCATTTTCAGACCCCCAAAAATACACTCACAAAAGCACTTACAAAAATACACTTACATAATTGTTCGAGTTGGGAGCTGTTTGAAACTCGAGGCACGACTGTACATTATATACATGTACATGTATATATTTTGTGTACATGATATTGAACCAAATGTATACAAGCTGTATGTTATATACAGATCTTACGGTATCTGATGACTTGTTTGTAGTTACAGGGGCAGAGCCATGTACTTGGTGTCCCGTTTTAATACAGTACACCATTTAATTTGCATCACAGGGCAGCATCCCTACGGTCTTTTATTATATAATTCTTATGCAAGTCAGTGATCCACCTAATACCCCAGGTACTTCCCATACCTCTAAACCTGTTCTGTTTGCAGATGACCTCCCTTTTTTTTTATCTTAAATCCAGACCCAGTTGTCCTTAATTTTTAATAATGGGCTTGTAAAGATAATTGCTGTACTACTTGGAAGACAAGATGAGGAAAAATTCTTAGTTTAAAACCTTGATGGTAAACTAAAAATTCAACATTTATAGCTAACACATATGTAAAAAGAAAAATATTAAAACCTGGGCATTCTTTTAAAAATGTTTTACTATGTATACCTCAAAAAACATTACTCTGTACTACTCTCTAATCAGCCTTTACATCACTTACGGTAAGTGTGCATGGGGTTCTACACTAACAATCACCTAAAACTCTGAAGTCTTCATGGCATAGATCAACAAGGTGCTGAACACATTCTTTAGGGATCCTGGTCCTTGTTGACATGATAGCATCACCAAGTTGCTGCAGATGTTTTAGCTGGCAGAATCTCCCATTCCACCACATCCCAAAGGTTTATACGAAATTCTGACCCTACCATCTGTATGTCACAGCAGAAATTGCAGTTCCTCAGACTAGGTAACATTTTTTCAGTCTTTAGCAGTCCAATTTTGGTGAGCATGTGCCCATTGTACCATCAGTTTTGTATTCTTAGCTGACAGGAGTGAAACCCAGTGTGGTGTTTTGCTGCTCTAGCCATATGCTTCAGTGTTTAGTGTGTTTTGCATTCAGAGATGCTCTTCTTCATACCACTTGTAACGTTTAGTTAATTGAGTTGCCGGCACCTTCTCTTACATTGAAGGATTTGGTAGGAAAGACGTAACAGCATTGGATGTCTACTAGGGTATCATGTTAGACTCCCCATATTCCCTCATGGACCCCCTTCCCCCACCCTCCATGCCTCCAGACCTAAGGAATAACAGTAAATCACAAATTTTCCACACCTTCCTGTCAGCCTGAAACAATTTGACAAGCTTCCTCTGGCCTCTGTCAGTAACAAGGCATTTTTCACCCACATAACTGCCACTCATTTTTCACACCATTCTCTGCAAACTCTAGAGATTGTTGTGTGAAAATCTCAGAGAGATGTGCAGCATCTGAGATATTCAAACTACCATCAATCTTTGTCTTTCCACAGTCAGAGTCACTAAGATCACATTTCTTCTCCAGTCTTATGTTTGCTCTGAACAACTGAACCTCTTGACCATCTCTGTATGCTCTTAGGCAGTAAATTGATGCCATGTAATTGGCTGATTAGATATTTGCATTACAGAGCTGGTATACAGGTGTGCCTAATAAAGGGGCCACTAAGTATATATCTGCTCTTTTTCATGTCTCTTTATGAGGGCATTTTCAGTGCCTGTTGTTCCTCAAAAATCAACCCACCTAACAAGCTTCTATCATTCAAGCTGTCAATTTTCATCAGAAATAAGATTGTAGAGACAAGTTAAAAGAGAACACTAATTCTGGAGATACAAGAATATGGGGAAATTCTGGGTAAGTATGACAAACTAAGCACTGTACTGAAGCTAGACACCACAAGCATTGCTATTCTCCTGTAATTACAAATACTAATGACAAATAGGGCAGTCTTGCACTTGTCAAAAATCTTGTGTTAAAAAAGTATTGGAAATGAAATCTTAATGACTTTTCGTCATTTCTGGAATACTGTATTGTTTAGTCAAGTGTTTATCCATTTTTCATCTCTAATTTGCATGTATGTGATTTGTTCCTGCCACTATATTGTAACCTCCTTTAAAGATTTGTATGAGAAACTAAATGATGTACTGTTATGAAGAATGAACACTACGAACATAGATTGGCTCTTGTAACTCCGTATATACTTGCACACAATCAGAATTTTAACCAGAATTTACAGAATACCATATAATTTAGGTTTATGGTGTGTCAGGGCCATGTTAAACTATTAGTCATTATGAATATGCTGAGGTTTATACAGTGAATATAATGTATATATTTTTTTTTACAGTATTTTATTCGCCCATTTAAGGAGGGTGCAGCCACAATGTCATCATTTCAGACATTTATTAAAGAAGTAACTTGGCTTTTTCATCAGCGAGAGGCCCAGCAAACACTTTTTTCTTGTGTCCATTAACCTAATGACCACCCTCCTCCTGCTTTCATGGTGCCACACTACACGCAGTATGGGTAAGCTTCCTTATGGTCATTGGTTTAAAAATTGTGAATGTTTAACTGTTTTACATGTTATTTTAAGATAAGAGAAAGATAGTTGGCTCTTGATAAATGCAGTTAACTGTTGTATATTTGTGCCTTGCATTGCATGATAGCCTTTTTTGAAATTTAGTGATGTGTTATGTTCTAGATAATCAGTGGTAGTAAGAAAGACACTTGTTTGCAGAGAGACTTTTATTACTACATTTCATCTGGGACTGGACTTTTATTGTGTACATGTATACAAAACCTCAAGAGGTACACTGCCTCATACAGCAAAAGAGCACCCTGAGGTCAGGCTTGGGAAGGATCACAAGTGATTCTTTTTCTCTTAGGAAGAGAGACAGTCAAACAGTATGCATAATAGGTACAGATATGTGGACAGGGAGCAGGAAAGTTAATCCCATAGGAAACATTTTTATTATATAGACCATGTACCATATGAGTGATGACACCTGCCAGTGTGTACATTCCCTTAGTTTTGTTTGATAGTATTAGATAAATAAATAGTAGCTGCTTGTAAAATCATGCATTCAGTTTTGTCCTCCTGATACCACTGTAGTCCTGCACTTTAGTTCATGATATGCAACTGGATTGTGATGAATAATGCATGCATTGTTAGCATTCATCCTGTAAGTATATTTGTGTTCCTGTAGGTGAGTCTGAAAGTCATTCCCTGTCTCACCAATGTATACCTTACTACATCCCTCACACAGAATGCTGTAAACCCCTGCAGCAGTGGTACTCTTGGGTCTGTGTGGTCTGGTGATGTCTTAGATGATTTTGTTGGTTATGACAGCAATGTGCATGTTGACTTTTCAGAAGATAGGGTTGATACTCAAGGCAACCTACCCTGTGGGGAGGACAAGACAACAATCAATATTGGCATTTTTTCCTAGGATAGGTGTGGATCATTATGTCTTTTTTTCAACCTCTACCACCGTTACACTACTTACTACTACTACCACCACCCGCCGCTGCCGCCACCACCACCACCACCACCACTGCTTCTACCTTTATTCCTCTCCTTTGTTCTCCCTTCCCTGTCCTCTCTCATATATATACTGAATCCCCTTCATTCTTCTGCATGACTAGTTAATGGCCAAAGTCAGACCAAAATGTCGTCATGAGTTTTTTTTCTCTTTCGTGTGGGTTATTTGTGTATACACTGTATTCTTTATTTAGTATTGTATTATTATTATTATTATTATTATTATTATTATTATTATTATTATTGTTTTATTATTTTTCCTCCATCCATATTCATTATTTTAAGATTATCCAAAAATTTGCTAGTACAGGTACAACACTGATTTTCTGGCAGTGGATGGTCCTACACCTCTTTTAGTCTGGACAAAATTACACAGGTGGCCACAGATGGCATGGGTAGGTCGCGTGCACTTGTATTGTTTACGCTGTAGTTGTTGGTGGCGATCCCCTGATTTTGTGCTATTCTCAGCATGTTTAGCTAATATTTAACCCTAGTTATGACTTCTAAGAAAGACATAGGTGTCAGTGGTGGAGTTAAGCATAAACCTCAGTTCATATTGATACAAGATAGGGTCAAATTATTGAATAAACTGGACCGTAGTGTTTCCATGTGGAAGTTGTGTAACATGTATGGAACTGGTGAAGCAGCCGTTTGATATGAAGAGGCAAAGGAACCAGTTATTGAAATTCTATGCAGAGAGTTATTCCAAAAAGCAAATGATCTTAAGAAAAACTTTGAAAGGTAGCAAGAGTACTGAGGATGACTGAGTGATGATGGAATTGTTTAGACAGCATTGGAGTGATGGAGTGGACTTGTCTGGTAGGATGTTAATGGAACAAGCTCAGTTCTTCCATAAATAACTTAAATTAAAATATGAGTGTAACTATAATGAAGGATGGCTTCAAAGTTTTAAGAAGCGTCTTGGAATTTCCATGTGTAAAGTGTGTGGAGAAAAATGATCTGCAGACCACAAAGGAGCTGCTGAGCACGTGGACAAATTTGTGAAGATTGTAGCTGTCAAGCACCTCTGTCCTGAACAGGTATATAATGCAGATGAAACTGCATTATATTGGCAGTGCACACCTAGGACATTAACAACAGAAGATAAAGAAATGCCCAGAGGATTCAAACAATGTAAGGATAAAGTTATGATCTTAGGGTACTCAAACAAAGCTGGCATACACAGGCATAAGCCATTGGTGCTCAGGAAGAGTAAATGCCCTAGGGCCTTGAAAGGCATTGAAATTTACCCAGTAATATAACATGCAAATAAATATGACCAGATTACCACTGAATTTTACCTTAGAGTGGTTTGAAAAGTTTTTTTGTGCTAGAAGCCAGAGCACATTGCATGTCTGTAGGCCTACAAGAAAATTGAAAGAGTTTTCTTATTGTGGACAATTGTTTAGCTCCCCAGTAAAATTGAACTCGTGTATGAAAATTTTAATACCACCAAACTGTACATCACTTATTTTACCCCAAGACCAAGGAATACTGCACTCTAAGCTTTCCCTTGCAACACCACAAATCCATGACGAAACAGTCAACTATTAAACGGTAATCACAACCTTCAACTTGCAGACCTAATGTGATCATTTCTAGTTTCAGTAGTACTGCAACTTTCTTTGTCAGTACAGTAATTAGTAAACCTGTTTCATTTATTCTAATGTTTAATTAAAGTTTCTAGCAGTCCATGGTGGGTCATAGGTGTATTGTTGAATTATCATGTAACCTCTGTTGGTCTGGCAAAATCGATATTTAAACAAGTCCTAGGAACCAAGGGTGATGGAAAATCGGTATTGTACCTGTATTGCATAGTAATTGCCTACTATTGCGTTTGTTGTTTTTCACAATTTTTTTGTTGTATGTAGTTACTCCTAAGAGCTTATTTTACTAGATACATAGAAAGTATTTTTTTTTTTCAACAAACTGGTCGTATCCCACCAAGGCAGGGTGGCCCAAAAAGAAAAACGAAAGCTTCTCTTTTTAAATTGAGAAGGGGTTACTAGCCCCTTGCTCCCGGCATTTTAGTTGCCTCTTACGACACTCATGGCTTACGGAGGAAGAATTCTGTTCCACTTCCCATGGAGAATTTAAAGTATTATCACATAAATTTAATGGAGCCAATTTTCATTTGCCCAGTTCTGTTAGAGGGTATTTATCTCCCCATGTTAAATTCCCTTTTCCATGGATCCAAATGGTGTACTTCCAACAGTAGTGAAGAAAAGACGTATTGTAGAAAATTTTTTACTGTTTTGGGACAAAGTGTTCCTCAAGAAATGGCTCTACACAGAGCAAAATATTGTCCAAATAAAAGCTTGTTCTGCAATTTATATACTGTATTTTCTTTTCCGTTATTCATTTATTGCTATCTTCACTCAGTTTACCTAAATCTTACTTTTTTACATAATTTTTCTGCATGGTGTTCTTGCATCATATACAAGCATATTCATAAACCATTAGCTCTTTATTTCTTCTGGCTCATCATCAAAACACTAAAGAACAAGGTAGGAGACCTAAATAACTTACCACCACTCGTGTATACAAAAGCTTCTCATGTGTTGGCACCCATTATTGCAACTCTCTTTAACAAGTCTGTTGAATCTTCATCCTTTCCATCCATACTCAAGACAGCAAGGGTTACCCCGATCCTCAAAGGAGACAGTCCAGTTGAACTGAATAACTATAGACCTATATCAAACTTTCCCCTAATATCTAAAATTTTCGAGAAAATAATTCACAAGCAAGTTTACTCCAACTTAGTATCTCACAACATACTTAACCCATGCCAGTTTGGATTCAGGCCAAAAAGTACTACTAATGATGCAATTATACATATGCTTGAAATTCTATGTATTATACATATGCTTGAACCTCTATATATGGCACTCAGAAAAAATTAAATTCCCCTGGGACTTTTCATAGACCTATGAAAAGCATTTGATACAGTTAACCATGACCTCTTGCACCTAAAACTTGAACATTATGGAGTCAGATGACGCTTGATTACTTAAAATCTTATCTCAGTAATAGACACCATTGTATATACACAAATGGTGTTACCTCTACTACACAACCTGTTCTTGTTGGAGTCCCACAAGGTAGTGTCCCTGACCCGCTTCTCTTTCTCATTTACAACAGTGACCTCCCAGATGCATCTAAACTCCTTAACCCTTTCAGGGTTTCCGACATGCTAGTACGGCTTACGCGCCAGGGCTATTGACCTACTAATACGTGTAAATTCTAGCGCCTTCAAATCTAGCGAGAGAAAGCTGGTAGGCCTATATACAAAAGAATGGGTCTATGTGGTCAGTGTGCATAGTATAAAAAAAAATCCTGCACCACACAGTGCATAATGAGAAAAAAAAACTCTGACCGTGTTTTTGGTTTAAAACAGCAACTTTGCACTGTATTTTCGTATGGGATTTATGGTTGTATTCTAGTTTTTCTGGTCTCATTTTATAGAATGGAAGGCATATTACAGAAATTGAGATGATTTTGATTGGTTTCACAATTAAAAGTACATAGAAATTGAGCTCAAAGTCGCAGAAATGTTCGATTTTTGCCAAAGTTCAAAAGTAAACAAATCATGCCACACGTCTAATACACATCAACTGGTGAGTCTAATATTCTTTCACAGTGCGTTGATATTATTCATACCATATCTACACCATTTCTACACTAATGCAGTAGTCTGCATAACAATAAATCTTCTATTTTTTTGTGAGAATAAAAATTCAAAGAGGAAAGCAAAAGAAATGTAAGAGGGGCCTGGGGACATGACTAATGAACAGAGGAAATGTTGTTTTAGTACCAGGAATGTCTGTCTTGTTTATTCTGGACCCTATTTTGAAATTGGCATCTCTTGAAATTTGTGTGAAATTCGCAAAATTGCCAGTTTCTGACCACTGTATTGGATAGTTGAAATCAGTAAATAGGTGGTTTCTTATACTCATTCGATAGAAAAAATGGAGTTCTAGAGAAATAGTTATGATTTTTGTCGGCTAGTACAGTGGAATTGACCGAAAATAGGGCTCAAAGTGGGCAAAATCGCCAGTGCGTAAACATCGTCAAGACCACTAACTTCATGAGAGCATAATTCTGTAAGTTTTCCATCAAATTTCATAATTTTGGTGTCATTATGATCGGGAAAAGATTCTCTATCATTTCGTAAGAAACTAATTTTTTTTTTTTTTTCCCAAAAAATTTTCGACCCTGAGAACAAATTTAGGAGAGGGCCTCTCGACCCTGAAAGGGTTAAACCCATTTTATTTGCACATGACACTACTTACATCTTCTCTTATCAAACCCAACTATACTAAGAGACACTGTAAACAACAAACTAATGAAAATATAGTGGACCCTTGACCATTGGCATTAGTCCGTTCCAGAGAGCTAGCTGTTAGTCGAATTTGCAGTTGGTCGAATTAATTTTCCCCTTAAGAAATAATGGAAATCCAATTAATCCGTTCCAGACAGCCAAAAGTATTAAAAATATAATTTTTTTCTACGTGAAATGTACATTTCCCTACACAGAAAAAAAATTAGACATGCACAATACATACATAGATAAAGACAGTGGACCCCCAGCATATAATATTAATCCGTTCCTGAGAGCTCATCGTGTGCTGAAATTATCGTAAGGCGAATTAATTTTCCCCATAAGAAATAATTGAAATCAAATTAATCCGTGCAAGACACCACAAAGTATGAAAAAAAAAAATTTTTACCACATGAAATATTAATTTTAATGCACACAAACTGACACTTAACTTTATTGAAGATCTGGTGATGATTGATGGGATGGGAGGAGGGGAGAGTGTGGAAGTTGTTAATGTTTAGAAGGGGAATCCCCTTCCATTAGGACTTTAGGTAGCACATCCTTTTCCGGGGTTACTTCCCTTCTTCTTTTAATGCCACTAGGACCAGCTGACCATGGTGCAGCAACAGCTGACCGTGGTGCAGCAACAGCTGACCGTGGTGCAGCAACAGCTGACCATGGTGCAGCAACAGATGACGGTGGTGTAACAGCAGCTGACTGTGGTGCAGCAGCAGCTGACCGTGGTGCAACAGCAGCTCACCATGGTTCAGCAACAGCTGACTGGTGCAGCAACAGCTGACCGTGGTGCAGCAACAGATGACGGTGGTGCAGCAGCAGCTCACCGTGGTGCAACAGCAGCTCACCGTGGTTCAGCAACAGCTGACTGGTGCAGCAACAGCTGACCGTGGTGCAGCAACAGATGACGGTGGCGTAGCAGCAGCTGACTGTGGTGCAGCAGCAGCTGACCGTGGTGCAACAGCAGCTCACCGTGGTTCAGCAGCAGCTGACTGTGGTTCAGCAGCAGCTGACTGTGGTTCAGCAACAGCTGACTTTGGTGCAGCAGCAGCTGATCGTGGTGCAGCAGCAGCTGACCGTGGTTCAGCAACAGCTGACTTTGGTGCAGCAGCAGCTGACTGTGGTTCAGCAGCAGCTGACTGTGGTGCAGCAACAGCTGACTGTGGTGCAGCAGCAACTGACCGTGGTTCAGCAACAGCTGACTTTGGTGCAGCAGCAGCTGACCGTGGTGCAGCAGCAGCTGCATCACGGTACAGTGGTGTACTATGTACCCCAAACGGCACTTCTTGCTCTTTACCACTACCACTCTTTCATCTACTCTTACTGCACCTATGGTATTTGTGTATGGGGTTCAACTACAGCAAATCACCTGAAACCTTTAATTGATTACCAGCTCCTGCACCAGGCAACACACTCCACCCTTTGTTAAGAGCTTGAACTTGCTTAATATACAAAATATCCACACACATCATTGTGCCTACTACATACACAGAACATTATATCCCTATATAAACCCTCCTCTCAAACTCTCCTTGATAACTACAACAGAACGCACAGGCATAACACAAGGCACAACACACACTTTGATATCCCTCGTGTCCATCTCTCCCTATGCAAAAATGCTATGCACATAAAGGGCCTAAAGATCTGGAATTCATTGCCTGAACATAAAAAAGGGCCCCTGCCTACAAATCAATTTAAGCTCTACTTAGAAATCACTTCATCACCTAAAATTGACCAGACAAACACTATATGTTATCACCTACCAGTAACTCAGAAAACTCCTAAATAATTTATGATTGCTCAATTATTTAAGCATTATTTCCAACTTAAATTTTTTTCAGTTTCATTATTATAAATTGTGCTAAATTGTAATACTGTAATTTTTTATATACTACTTCATCTCAATTCTAAATTCAATTACTGTAAACCACTACCTACCTCTATTGTAATAAGAAAAATGATGTATAATTAAAATTTACTGCTCTTTATATGTCTAGTATTAAGTAGTCTGTAAGCATTATGCTTAGTCTGCCCAAAATGCCCTAGCATGATAGTGGCTTTCTTTTTACTTAACCAATCAAAATTGTAATCACACGTTGTAAACATTGCAAAGAAATAAAATCTTTATCATTGTCTTTATCTTATTGATGCTTGTTAGATCTTACTAGTAATATTCTTCCACAAAAATATTTTCCTCTTACCACTGTAGTTTTCTTTCATGCCAAAATAACTCTGAAAATTACCCAGCAGTTTATTTTTCTAAATTTATCAAATGCTTCATTTTGAATCCAAGCACCATACAGAAGATACATTACATATAATTGAAATATAGGTTTACAATTTGGATACTGGCATGTTTAATTAAAAAGCCTTAATTATATACACCTTTTTGGGCAGGTCTAGGCTGGAACTAAAACTTAATGAATAGGTGTTACAGGGTTGGAGTGGTATCTGTTAGAATGCTGATGTAGATACACATTAATTGAATTTAAAAATATGAAGTATCATTAGTTTTGATAGCCCATAGCAGTACAGTACCAGTACTCTTCATTGTTGGCAGCACTGTATGACCCTTGTGGGTTAAGTGCTGAGTTATGATTATAATAATAATCTTCTTGTCTTAAGGCCATCATGGCATTCCCTGCTAGACAGTTGTCATTTGGTATTTTACTTAGCTGAGATTAATCACTAACATTTAATTGAATCAAGAGCTTTATAGATGATACTGCACCGTATATGAATAACTACTCTCTGTATTAAAACCTCAATAGTGGCTGGGTACAAGTCTACCCTAGATATATCTATTATCACAACATTTATAGGCCTTCAGGCCAGCAAATCAGGCAGGAAGCTTCCCTTACTTTTAGGTTGTCCATATGGAGCACTGATGAGTCAATCAGGGGGAAGCTGTAGGAAATGTAAGGTGAAGTTGGGCAGATACCACCCACACCTTGAGTTCCACAGGGCATCAGGCAGAAGGCTAGTGTGTAATACTGCATGCCTGTACTGTACTGTACAGTTGTTTCACTTATTTTGTTGTAAAATATGAAAAGATTATGGGAAATTTTACATTCATTAGTCCAGGTAAATTAGGTATCTGGAACACTGTTTTGATGAGTGGTATTTGCAGATTTGGTATTTTTTCTGCTTCCAGGAATGTAGCCCCTGTGAATAAGTATGTTATTCTGTACTCTATACAATATTGCCATAAGCAGTATACATTTAGAGAACTAGATGAAGTTGAAGCCAGCTGTAAACCAGAGCTTTCCTTTTGTCAGATTTGACTTCACTATGTCCACATGTTGTGAGAGCCTGATCCAAATGAAAGTCATTTGGGAATCAGTAATTACTAAGGGAATGATGTCCTTGTATGGTTCTCTACATTGTTTAAATAACAGAGATAGGATGAGGGCAGGCAATCCAAGAGTCTGAGCAAACATACTATATGGAGTTTTGCAATTGAGCAAGTATGAAATGCAGTTTTGATTGCAAGTTTCCTGGCTACTTTGCTTACATGTGACCCTGATGGGTTTAGTGCTTAGTTTTGATTATAATAATAATAATACTTTGCTTATAAGATTTACCTCATAACACTTAATAGTTATTGCAGAGTTGGATTCCATTGCTGGGTGGTAAGAGACTCACTCACTCGCACTCTCTCTTGATTGCAAATGGAGCATTCTTACACTGTGCAGTGTAATGCTTTTGATTCACTTTGCCTAAACATGCATTGGATATGAATCAAATGATGCTTTGTAAGACATGTGTAGCTGCTTTTACTGGATTTACTAAATAATTGCTTGCAGTTGATTTAAGCTAGATAAGTAGATAAATTTTTGAATTGATGCGTATCTAGTTGGAGTAGAAAACCATTGAGACTTATGCACCCATAGCATAATAATGTTTATAGTATTTTATGAATATATCTGGCATCACTTGACTTGTCAGTAACGATTATGAATACCTTCCACTTAATCAACTTGAAGAACATGGTGTAAATATGAAATAAATGAACTTGTTTTGTAATAGGATTTTGTTTTTAACTTAAACTTATATTGCTCATTCCAGCACTTATGGCTTATACATACCTCTCATGGTTCAGTCTCTTGAGGTAAGTTACCTGTTCTTTGTGTGATGCTTCAACACCACATAATTACATTCTTTTAAAATTATAGCTTGAGTGTGGGAAGGCTAATGTTATAAACATATAATTCAGATGTATTATGTATATGAAGGTGAGATTTTATTTTTTGATTCAGTAATGTATGTGCTTAATTAGGCTAAGATTTTATTTAGATTTTAAACTGATGGAAGACATTCTAAGGTCATTTGATAGATGTCAAATTTGGTTAACATCTGAGCAAAGTTATTACTAGACTATCTCAGATTCGATACTTATGCTATATTCACTTAGAATTACAAATAGTGCAGTAAATAATCACTTCATAGTTACTGAGGATGCATTCGAAGAGGCCCCAGCATTCTATAAACTGTAAACCCCACTTAAGTTTGAAATAATATTGCATTAAAGTGGAATATACTATTTACTTTTGATATTGATGATGTGATGTTTTAGGTGCTGGATGGGAAATCAGGAGGAGGTTTTCTGTAGAATCCCCCAAGGCTAATTCTTTCATCCCAACCAATGAATCTCATAAAGCCCCATTTATTCTTAATTTCATCAAGACCTCCTTCCTCTTAGAAACACACTTAACTCTACCACTTTCATGGAGCTTATAAGCCATGATGCATTCTAGTACAGCATGATAATGCAAACATTTGCACATTACAATAGTAATCATGGTTGTGGGTGTAAGACAAACTAATGTATTTGTAACACAAGACCAAAATATTGCAGCTTTTGTAAAATAGTGGAAGGCTGTGGGGCACAGACATACCCACATCACCCTTTTATTAACAGTGAAGCAGACACTATGTATATCTTTATGAAACTTATTTTATTTTCATCATAGTTCATTGAAATTTTATAATATTGGCAGTCATAATTAAGAACATCACATAAAAATAAAATTGACATACCCAATCTCATGGCCTGTTGGCAACACTCTCGCCTCATACACTGAGTGTCTGTGGTTTGATCCCCGGCAAGAGTGGAAACATTGGGTGTGTGTCCTTACACCTGCTGTCCCTGTTTACCTAGCAAACAAGTACATGTACTTAGGTGTAAGTCGACTGGTGTGGGTCGCATCCTGGGGGATGAGATTTAAGGACCCCAATGGTAATAAGACACAGTCCTTAATGATGCACTGACTTTCTTGGGTTATCCTGGGTGGTTAATCCTCCAGGGTTAAAAATCCAAACAAAATCTTATCTTACTGGCACTCTTAGTGACATATCATATTTGTTTAATTATGTGGAATGAAATATCAGACGCATTTAAAATTAATTCAATAACATTAATAAAATTGTAACTGAAGTGAACCAAAAGAACCAAACCTTTACCTTTACCTTTGAAGAGTTTCGAGAGTTTATCTACTCTCTGAGACCGGCCATGGGTCGGGCTTGTCTGGTGCTTGCCTGGTCAACCAGGCTGTTGCTGCTGGAGGCCCGCTGCCCCACATATCCATCACGGCCTGGTTGATCTGGCACCTGGTGAAGATACTTGTCCCGTTTCGTCTTGAAGGCTTTTACACTGGTTCCAGCCATGTTTCTGATATCTTCTGGTAAGATGTTGAATAGTCTAGGACTCCGGATGTTGATACAATGTTCCCTAGAAACACTGATAACCTAGAAAAACTGATATCCTAACCTAAAGGACTAAGAGTGAGTGAGCATTGTTGATATATCAGCTGTGTGTTTACAAGAAATGCCCCTCTTTCATGCTGTGACTGAGTGTAGGCAGCACATCAAATACGTATACAGAGTTGCTATTTCAGTTTTAGACAGTTTTGAATTGTGAATAATTCACCATTCACATTAAAATATTGTAAATGTACGTATCTCAGTGACCCTGAACCCAGACTGTTGTTTACATTGCCAGTCTCCCTTTCATAAAAAAGATAAGCACAACAAAGATGACAAAATCATCTCATCCCTGCAGTTATGAAAGATTTGATGAAACCCCAACAAGCTCCCATGGAATCTTAAGGTTCTGCAGAAGCTAATTTAAAAATACATGCCCTAGTGTATGAATGAATTTTACATCATTAAGTCTCAGCTGTGCTTATATTGAGTGACATTCACATCTTTGTTCCTACCCCATACTGTACATGAATGCAGTAAACTTCACATCTTATTTAAATTCAAGTACAGTGGACCCCCGCATAACGATCACCTCCGAATGCGACCAATTATGTAAGTGTATTTATGTAAGTGCGTTTGTACGTGTATGTTTGGGGGTCTGAAATGGACTAATCTACTTCACAATATTCCTTATGGGAACAAATTCGGCCAGTACTGGCACCTGAACATACTTCTGGAGTGAAAAAATATCGTTAACCGGGGGTCCACTGTACATACTATTCACAAACTTGTTTAAATAAGCATATACTGTGTCACACATTAGTCTGTGACCCACTATTTATTCTACTTGAACTAAATTTTCTAGTAAGCTAACACCTTATCTAGTTAGGATCACTTGTTCATATGAGTAGTTTCTAATCTGGATATAACCACTTGTTCATCCGAACACGTGTATGTAATCATTTGTTCATCCAAAATAGCTGTCTGATACAAAGTGTGAATCCCCAGATAATCTAGCCTTGTGATTTTGGAAATAAATTTTAAAACTAAAATACAAAAAGCCTCCTGCAAATTGTTTTCAAATAAATACTGTATAGTAATAACACAATTATTAAATGTTAGGCAGTCATTATTAGCCTGTCAAAAATAATTTACTCTAATAGATGCATTTTTTTTATTTAGGATGTCTGCCATTTCCCACTGAGGCAGGGTGACTCAAAAAGAAAGAAAAACCCAAAAGAAAGAAAAAAAAACTTATTATCATTCAACACTTTCACCATCACTCATACATAATCATTGTCTTTGCAGAGGCACTCATATACGACAGCTTAGACGTCCCTCTAAACTGCCAATATCCCAAACCCCTCCTTTAACCCTTAAACTGTCCAAACATACATCAATGTTTGCACCGCTAGCACTCCAAGCATATATCTACGTTTTTTATACATTTGAAAGCATGTAAACTGAAACGTAGATCTATGTTCAGAGCACTAGCAGAGCAAACGTAGACCTACATTTGGGCAGTTGAAGGGTTAAAGTGCAGGCATTGTACTTTGCATTTCCAGGACTCAAGTCTGGCTAACCATATAGCCTATTAAAAAGAAAAAGAAAAGATGCATGTCTATCAGAAATTTTTTCTTAGTTATATTATGTATACAGTACATATGTACAGTGGAACTCCGGTTTTCATATGGTCCGCATATCATGCAATTGGGAGGAGGTGTGGGGTTAGAAAAAGTATTATTCAGAGGGCTGAAGAGGGATTATTGAGGTGGTTTGGTCATTTAGAGAGGATGGAGCAAAATAGAATGGTTTGGAGGGTGTATAAATCTGTAGTGGAGGGGAGGAAGAGATGGAGGGAGGGGGTAAAAGATGTTTTGTGTGTAAGGGGCCTGGACATGCAGCAGGAATGTGTGACCTTGTTAGATAGGAGTCAATGGAGACGAATGGTTTTTGGGACCTGACGAGCTGTTGGAGTGTGAGCAGGGTAATATTTTGTGAAGGGATTCAGGGAAACTGGTTAGCTGGACTTGAAACCTGGAAATGGGAAATATACTCCGAATTCTCCGCATAATATTTACACCACACATTGCCCTAAGACAGGACATCCCCACCGCCTCCAACCACCTCCTCGCTGCAGCATTTACAGCCCAAGCTTCACACCCATATAAGAGTGTTGGTACCACTATACTTTCATACATTCCCTTCTTTGCCTCCATAGATAATGTTTTTTGTCTCCACATATACCTCAGTGCACCACTCGCCTTTTTTCCTTCATCAATTCCATGGTTAACCTCGTCCTTCATACATCCATCTGCTGACACGTCAACTCCCAAATATCTGAAAACATTCACTTCTTCCATATTCTCCTCTCCAATTTGATATGCAATTTTTCTTTATCTAAATCATTTGATACCCTCATCACCTTACTCTTTTCTATGTTCACTTTCAACTTTCTACCCTTACACACACTCCCAAACTTGTCCACTAACCTTGGCAACTTTTCTTTAGGATCTCCCATAAGCACAATATCATCAGCAAAAGATAACTCTGTCAATTCCCATTTTGTATTTGATTCCCCATAATTTAATCCCACCCCTCTCTCCAACACCCTAGCATTTACTTCTTTTACAACCCCATTTATAAATATATTAAACAACCATAGTGACATTACACATCCCTGTCTAAGACCTACTTTTACCAGGAAGTAGTCTCCCTCTCTTCTACACACCCTAACCTGATCCTCACTATCCTCATAAAAACTCTTTACAGCATTTAGTAACATACATATATATATATATATATTATATATATATATATATATATATTATCTTTCTTCTTTCTTTCAACACACCGGCCGTATCCCACCGAGGCAGGGTGGCCCAAAAGAAAAAACCAAAAGTTTCTCCTTTCAAATTTAGTAATAATATACAGGAGAAGGGGTTACTAGCCCCTTGCTCCGCATTTTAGTCGCCTCTTACAACACGCATGCTTACGGAGAAGAATTCTGTCCACTTCCCCATGGAGATATATATATATATATATATATATATATATTATATATATATTTTTTTTTTTTTTTTTTTTTTTTTTCAACAAGTCGGGCCGTCTCCCACCGAGGCAGGGTGACCCAAAAAAAGAAAGAAAATCCCCCCCCCCCCCCAAAAATACTTTTATCATCATTCAACACTTTCACCACACTCACACATTATCACTGTTTTTGCAGAGGTGCTCAGAATACAACAGTTTAGAAGCATATACATGTACATATAAAGATACACAGCATATCCCTCCAAACTGCCAATATCCCAAACCCCTCCTTTAAAGTACAGGCATTGTACTTCCCATTTCCAGGACTCAAGTCCGACTATATGAAAATAACCGGTTTCCCTGAATCCCTTCACTAAATATTACCCTGCTCACACTCCAACAGATTGTCAGGTCCCAAGTACCATTCGTCTCCATTCACTCCTATCTAACACGCTCACGCACGCTTGCTGGAAGTCCAAGCCCCTCGCCCACAAAACCTCCTTTACCCCCTCTCTCCAACCCTTTCGAGGACGACCCCTACCCCGCCTTCCTTCCCTATAGATTTATATGCTTTCCATGTCATTCTACTTGATCCATTCTCTCTAAATGACCAAACCACCTCAACAACCCCTCTTCTGCCCTCTGACTAATACTTTTATTAACCCCACACCTTTTCCTAATTTCCACACTCTGAATTTTCTGCATAATATTTACACCACACATTGCCCTTAAACAGGACATCTCCACTGCCTCCAACTGTCTCCTCACTGCTGCATTTACCACCCAAGCTTCACACCCATATAAGAGTGTTGGTACTACTATACTTTCATACATTCCCTTCTTTGCCTCCATAGATAACGTTTTTTGACTCCACATATACCTCAATGCACCACTCACCTTTTTTCCCTCATCAACTCTATGATTAACCTCATCCTTCATAAATCCATCTGCAGACACTCCCAAGTGTCTGAAAACATTCACTTCTTCCATACTCCTCCTCCCCAATTTGATATCCAAATTTTCTTTATCTAAATCATTTGATACCCTCAATCACCTTATTCTTTTCTATGTTCTCTTTCAACTTTCTTCCTTTATACACACTCCCAAACTCATCCACTAACCTTTGCAATTTTTCTTTAGAATCTCCCATAAGCACAGTATCATCAGCAAAAAGCAACTGTGTCAATTCCCATTTTGTATTTGATTCCCCATAATTTAATCCCACCCCTCTCCCGAACACCCTAGCATTTACTTCTTTTACAACCCCATCTATAAATATATTAAACAACCATGGTGACATTACACATCCCTGTCTAAGACCTACTTTTACCAGGAAGTAGTCTCCCTCTCTTCTACACACCCTAACCTGAGCCTCACTATCCTCATAAAGACTCTTTACAGCATTTACTAACTTACCACCTATTCCATATACATACTTACAACATCTGCCACATTGCTCCTCTATCCACTCTATCATATGCCTTTTCTAAATCCATAAATGCAATAAAAACTTCCCTACCTTTATCTAAATACTGTTCACATATATGCTTCAATGTAAACACTTGATCTACACGTCCCCTACCCACTCTAAAACCTCCTTGCTCATCCGCAATCCTACATCCTGTCTTACCTCTAATTCTTTCAATTATAACCCTACCGTACACTTTTCCTGGTATACTCAGTAAACTTATTCCTCTATAATTTTTACAATCTCTTTTGTCCCCCTTCCCTTTATATAAAGGGACTATACATGCTCTCCGCCAGTCCCTAGGTACCTTCTCCTCTTTCATACATTTTTTTTTTTAACAAGTCGGCCGTCTTCCACCGAGGCAGGGTGACCCAAAAAGAAAGAAAATTCCCAAAAAGAAAATACTTTCATCATCATTCAACTCTTTCACCTCACTCACACATAATCACTGTTTTTGCAGAGGTGCTCAGAACACAACAGCTTAGAAGCATATACGTATAAAGATACACAACATATCCCTCCAAACTGTCAATATCCCGATCCCCTCCTTTAGGGTGCAGGCATTGTACTTCCCATTTCCAGGACTTAGTGTGTGTGTGTGTGTGTGTGTGTGTCACACTTCACAGACATGCACATGCATATATGTATACATACATCTAAGTTTTTCTTCTTTTTCTAAATAGCTCTTGTTCTTCTTTATTTCTTCTATTGTCCATGGGGAAGTGGAAAAGAATCTTTCCTCCGTAAGCCATGCGTGTTGTATGAGGCGACTAAAATGCCGGGAGCAATGGGCTAGTAACCCCTTATGTAGACATTTACTAAAAAAAAGAAGAAGAAAAACTTTATAAAACTGGGATGCGTGGATGTAGTGCGGATGACAAGAAACAGATGATTGCTGATGTTATGAATGAAAAGAAGTTGGATGTCCTGGCCCTAAGCGAAACAAAACTGAAGGGGGTAGGGGAGTTTCGGTGGGGGGAAATAAATGGGATTAAATCTGGAGTATCTGAGAGAGTTAGAGCAAAGGAAGGGGTAGCAGTAATGTTGAAGGATCAGTTATGGAAGGAGAAAAGAGAAAATGAATGTGTAAATTCAAGAATTATGTGGATTAAAGTAAAGGTTGGATGCGAAAAGTGGGTCATAATAAGCGTGTATGCACCTGGAGAAGAGAGGAATGCAGAGGAGAGAGAGAAAATTTTGGGAGATGTTAAGTGAATGTATAGGAGCCTTTGAACCAAGTGAGAGAGTAATTGTGGTAGGGGACCTAAATGCTAAAGTAGGAGAAACTTTTAGAGAGGGTGTGGTAGGTAAGTTTGGGGTGCCAGGTGTAAATGATAATGGGAGCCCTTTGATTGAACTTTGTATAGAAAGGGGTTTAGTTATAGGTATTACATATTTTAAGAAAAAGAGGATAAATAAGTATACAAGGTATGATGTAGGGCGAAATGACAGTAGTTTGTTGATTATGTATTGGTAGATAAAAGACTGTTGAGTAGACTTCAGGATGTACATGTTTATAGAGGGGCCACAGATATATCAGATCACTTTCTAGTTGTAGCTACACTGAGAGTAAAAGGTAGATGGGATACAAGGAGAATAGAAGCATCAGGGAAGAGAGAGGTGAAGGTTTATAAACTAAAAGAGGAGGCAGTTAGGGTAAGATATAAACAGCTGTTGGAGGATAGATGGGCTAATGAGAGCATAGGCAATGGGGTCGAAGAGGTATGGGGTAGGTTTAAAAATGTAGTGTTAGTGTGTTCAGCAGAAGTTTGTGGTTAAAGGAAAGTGGGGTGCGGGAGGTAAGAGGAGCGATTGGTGGAATGATGATGTAAAGAGAGTAGTAAGGGAAAAAAGTTAGCATATGAGAAGTTTTTACAAAGAAGTGATGCAAGGAGAAAAAGAGAGAGGTTAAGAGAGTGGTGAAGCAATGTAAAAAGAGAGCAAATGAGAGAGTGGGTGAGATGTTATCAACAAATTTTGTTGAAAATAAGAAAAAGTTTTGGAGTGAGATTAACAAGTTAAGGAAGCCTAGAGAACAAATGGATTTGTCAGTTAAAAATAGGAGAGGAGAGTTATTAAATGGAGAGTTAGAGGTATTGGGAAGATGGAGGGAATATTTTGAGGAATTGTTAAAGTTGATGAAGATAGGGAAGCTGTGATTTCATGTATAGGGCAAGGGAGAATAAACATCTTGTAGGAGTGAGGAAGAGCCAGGTTGTGAGTGTGGGGAATTACGTGAGGAAGTAGGTAAAATGAAAGAGGGTAAGGCCAGCTGGGATTGATGGGATAAAGATAGAATGTTAAAAGCAGGTGGGGATATAGTTTTTGGAGTGGTTGGTGTCAAATTATTTTAATAAATTTATGGGAAGAGGGTAAGGTACCTAGGGATTGGCAAGAGCATGCATAGTTCCTTTGTATAAAAGGCAAAGGGGACAAAGAGATGCAAAAATTATAGGGGGATAGAGGTCTGTTGAGTATACCTGGTAAAGTGTATGTAGAGTATGTTATTGAAAGAATTTAGAGTAAGATGGAGAATAGGATAGCAGATGAACAAGGGAGGTCTTTAAGAAAGGTAGGGGGTGTTGGAACCAGGTGTTACAGTGAAACATATAAGTGAATCAGTATATAGGAATAAGGCTAAAGAGGTCTTTGTGCATATATGGATTTGTAAAAGGCTATTACAGGGTGGACAGGGGGCAATGTGCAAGATGTTGCGCAGGGTATGGTGTAGGAGGTAGGTTACTGAAAGCATGAAGAGTTTTTACGAGATAGTGAGGCTCAAGGTTAGAGTATGTAGGAAAGAGGGAAATTATTCCCCAGTAAAAGTAGGCCTTAGACAAGGATGTGTGATGTCACCATGGTTGTTTAATATATTAAGATGGGGGTTGTAAGAGAAGTAATATGCGAGGTTCTTGGCAAGAGGCGTGGAGTTAAAAGATAAAGAATCACACATAAAGTGGGAGTTTGTCACAGTTGCCTCATTTCTGATGACACTGTGGCTCTTGGGAGATTCTGAAGAAACAGTTGCAGGATGGTGGATGAATTTGGTAGGGTGTGGCAAAAGAAGAAAATTAAAGGTGAAATACAGAAAGAGTAAGGTTATTAGGAAAAAGATTAGGTGAAGAAAGATTGGACTCAGATTGGAGGGAGAGAGTATGGAGGAGGTGAATGTATTCCGATATTTGGGAGTGGAACTGTCCCAGTGGATGGGTCTATGAAAGATGAGGTGAATCTAGAATTGATGAGGGGCAAAGGGTGAAGTGGTGT